ACTTTCAACTTTTTAATTAAAAAAGGACATTTTTGACTCTATTTATCATAATGGTATGGACTGCTTAAGACATCGACCTGGGGTCTGTTCTTTGTAGCTCGCTTAAATGATCTAAGATTATTTGACAGATCCTGAATCTTTTAATCTTGATAACTGATCTCTCGCTAATTTGGTTCTTCAAACAAGTTTGTGAATCAGATTAAAATGCCTGGATGAACTGACCTGAGATCGCTGCTTGTGTTGTGAAGGACAGATCTATCGATCCTCGAAATCATGATCAGCAATGCAACGATTGGCTGATTGCACAGCAGCGTAATGACATCATCTGAATCAAATCACCGTCATATTAAATGTCAAAACATGTTTATGACTGCATAAATGTATTATTGGTTCTAACTTTATATACATAGTTAAAAAATATTTACTATTTTTCCAAGTGTATATAACTACTACTGTAAGAAAATATCAGAATTCGGTACATGCTTTCTGTATCATCTTAGCTTGAACTGACCCGATCTAATCCTGTTTATATGAATTGAACCTGCTCCCGATCAGGTTTGAGCTACCAGAACTGTTGCCATGACAACAACTCTCCGATCACTTTTGAAGAACGAAATGATCCTGGATCATGTCAAATCGTCAATAAACAAATCCAGCTAACTGAGTAATTCACCTACGAAGAACGGACCCCTGGACAGATTGTTATGCATATATTTATTTTATTATAGTTTGAAATTTTTTTAAAACATTTGTTAATTTGTTTTTTATTTTAAAGAAAGTTTATTTTGGAAAAAAGTGTGTGAATACAAGTAGAGCTCTCTTGTTTTTACACAATATTTAAGATCTTTTGCTAAGAAATATCTAAAATATTTCAATATCATTTTTATTATTGTATTATTAAATATTTTATATTGAAATATTTTTTGATAGGACAAATAAAAATCTTTTTCATCTGGGCCATTTAAAAAATTCCTTAGTCTAAAATTTCATTCATAATGGTCTTAAAAATGTCTTAAAATGAACTTGGTGACAACTGTAGAAACCCTGATTTAAAGTATGTCAGAAATCGTGGATGACCTTGATTTTAAATATGCTGAATGAAATGGACTAAAATAATTAATTATTTTAAACATTGTACAGTATTCTAAACTATATGATGTTGCTGTGGGACGACGTGAGACAAAACAAATTATAGTGGAACAATAACGTTTAGCAGTGCACTAACTACAACTACAACTGGCCAACAAACTAGTCTAAAAATGACTTTTGCTTCTTAAGAAATGGATTACAGCATGCTGATGATATTTGAGTGTACATTTGAGTGTAAAGTTCGTCAGTATTGACCATATTCTTCACGTACCAGCAGGCGCCGCCATTGGAATCTTTTTGCTTTTTAAAGAATAAATATTTAGATCCTAAAAACAGTGTTATGCTGCTTAGGCATATAAATAAAAAAGCCGAGGTTTGAAAAACTGCCAATATTTTCTGCTGTACCATTCCTACGGTTTATGGATGTTTTTTTTTTTTACATTTTTGTTTTAGGTTTTTCAGGACAACTGTATCTCCAGCAGAAAAGATATTAAAATTTGCCGTTTTAAATTGTTGTAAAGAAATCTGTGTTTCTGAAACAAATGAAGACAGCAGAAGTCAATGATTCATTAGAATTATTCAGCCTGACATGTTTACTGCCCCAAAATATTGTAAAAGTTTCTCAAATGAAAATATATTGTGTTCAAAGTGGGAAAAGTTTAAGTTTTTAACCCAGACATTTATAAGTATATATTTTAGAGCAGTAATCACAGTACAGTGAAAGCGTGATATTTTCATTCAAGCTTATCATACCGTCAGAATCTCATACTGGCCCATGCCTAATGCTGCTTGATGTTGCAAAGTCATATTTTCTAATTTTATTATTTTTCCTTGTATGTATAGTCATGAACACACTTGTTTGTAGAGCAAGTAGTGTGACCGTTTTCTGCTGTTTATTATTCTTGGCAATTTCTCCAATAGGCAAATTAAGTTCTAAAATAATAGCATATGAGATCAGGGCCCCGTTTCAAAAAGGAGGTTAAGTGAAAACTCAAAGTATTTTAACCCTGAAATGAGGGAAACTCTGGGTTTTCTGTTTCAAAATGGCAGGTTTGTCAAACTGGAGATAGCAGGGCAAGTTAAGCCTGTTTCTGAAAGAGAGGTAACTTTAACTCAGAGTCAGTTACCATTGTAATTCCAGTTTGAGCATTAAAAAAGATTTGTTATAAAAGATTTTATGATGATGAAAATGTGTGTGAATGGACAAACCAGTAGGCTGAGCACACTGTAAAACTTCTAAAATGTTGTTTTGGTCATTCAAAATGCCTTTACCGTTTTAGTATTAATGCTATTATATTATTAATGACCTCCAGAGCGTTTATAGTGCAACCCGTCACTGGGAAAAACCCACACACACACATACACTATGGAAAATTTAGCTTACCCAATTCACCTATACAGAGTGTCTTTGATCTTGTGGAGGAAACCGGAGCACCCAGAGAAAACTGCTTACATTCTTTTTTTTTTTTGCTGTTTTTTTTTTTTTTTTCCTTTTTTGATTTTACGGATAAATATCGGTAGCTGTGGTTGCCAGTAATCTACTGTTTTTAACATTCATAAATTCAGTTTACAGAATATTTCTATTAAAAACACATTCTTGAAGGCGCGCAGCTGTCGTGCAGTGAGGGGTTTGCGTCTTTAATAAACTACGGCAGTTTGCGTTCACTGAACAGTAAGAATGATTAATAAATCCATATGAAACAGTCATGTCTCGCTTTCAGTTTCGGGCTTTGGCGCGTTTTGCACTCACACACAAGCATACTGCGCCAAAGCCCAAGTGAACCGCGCTCAGGCACACCTCTTCCAACCGGGCCAGGGCCGGCCAAGTGAACTGTGCTTGAGCCTGATTCAGCGCACTCACACTTCTCAAACGATCCAGGAAACGGGCCTGGGCACGGAACGGATGGCATAGTGTGAGTAGGCCCATAGATCAGTCCTGCATACTTTCCTTGTAAGTTCAGACTTCGCAATTTTGATATGGAAAACAGACTCCCGAGGACAAGTCGTGTAAATCTTCAAAGGATAGAGTGTATTTTATAACCTTATTTACACCATCCTGTATATGTACATTGTATACCTTAACAATAAAATGAAAACATAATTTAAGGAACTGCTATTTTCATTTTGATATTAACAACTTAACGGACAGCAGAAATGTTGAGGCGTGCAACATGAGTGTCGTCTTCACTGTATGCATATTTATAACAAAACGGAGCCTGTAACATTACTGTCTCCTTTCAGTCTCATTGAAAATACAAAACATACCCTCTCTTTTGCTGAATATCAGTTTTAATAATCAACAATGGCCATTATAAAAGTATAATGTACAATAGGTTTATACATTATAGAAAATAAAGGGAAGCAATCAGTCATTATATAGAATGTACGTGGTTACATTAATTATTAACTTATTGTAGTGGCCTCACTTAGGCTGGCTGCTTAGTTATCCAGTCAGTTAACATGAAAATCTTACAAAGAATTACAGATGACGTTTGCAGATCCTTCCTTTTCCCATTCTTTATTTCTTTTTACTTGTAAAAAGTGTGAAACACAAATAAATAGCTTTTACATTCACATAACTCTTGCACAGTATGCGTTATCATTTAGCAGCCACGTCAACTCAATAAATTCTGCTGACATTAACAATCAATTATACAAACTAATAACATTCTTTGACAGAAAACCCATTGTATTTATGTAATCATACAAAAAAACACAGGGTATTGCCCTCTTTAAACTACACTGTTGGCACAGTTTGCTTGTCGGAAGAAGCTGCTGAATAACTGCCATGCCACATGTCTTTGCCGAACTACAATGAAACCAAAACTTAAGACAATAACTTCTGCTACTGACATCAACCACTAGATGTCACCTTAACTCCATAGAAACATATCTATTATGAAAAGCATACATTGCCATCCAGCCAATACTATCAACCAAGTTTACGGTTTTCTGAGACCATAACACTTATCTTTGCGCTCAGCCATAAAACACGTTACCTGAGAACAAGTAATAGATTCGAAAAAGCGAGGTCAGGGAATATGTGGTAAGATATAGACCACAAGATGAATTAAATATCATGTTTAACAAATATAGTGAGATTAGATCCAGCGGTGGATCCTTGATGAACAGTTCGACGAGCACAGCTCTCATCTGGGTAGATATGCTGCAGCGCATGCCAGAGGGTGTGTGTGTGGTCATGTGATGTACTTTTCACAGTTTTAATGTAGACTGAGAGCTGTTCAGAAACGCTAGTGTGGACATGGATCGTTTTAATTATAAAACACAGTTTTAAAACTAAAACGTAGTAGTATAAACGGGGCCCAAATCTCTTTCTTCCGCACACCACATAATGCTGCCCTCTTTAACTCCTCCTCTTCCTTTTTAACTCTCACCCATTTCCCTTTTGCTGTCTCATGGGTGAAGACCGACTAAACAATGTTGACTGTCATCACAGAAAACACCAACAATCACAAATGCATGATTATATGCTGTCATGGATTTGCAATCAAAAAAATGTTGTTAAAATAGAGGCCAATGGAGAAAAAACAGCCATGAATGAAACGAAAAGGGAGTAACTTTGACCAGAGTGTGTGTGATCTGATTGATTTTACATTTTAATGTGTATCAAAATTATAGTGTGTGTAGCCAATGTTTCCAGTGTCTTTTTACTTTTCAGGTCTTAATGAGAGTTTTTAAGACTTAATGTTTTTTATTATTAATATTTCAGACCTAACTGAAGAGAATGAGGGGAGTAAAGAGGAGGAACATCATGTCAAAATTGAGGAAAAAACTCATTTACAGACTGATGATATTTTGAAAAGGGGAGACAACAATCATTTCCCCTGCACTCAGTGTGAAAAGAGTTTTAGAAAAAAAGGCTATCTTAATCTACACATGAGGAGCCACATTGGAGAGAAATCATACACATGCACTCAGTGTGGGAAGAGTTTCATCCGCCCATCATCCCTTAAACTACACATGAGGATCCACACTGGAGAGAAACCATTCGCATGCACTCAGTGTGGAAAGAGTTTCAACCAACTATCATCCCTTAATCAACACATAAGGATCCACACTGGAGAGAAACCATTCACATGCACTCAGTGTGGGAAGAGTTTCAGATGCTCATCACACCTTAGTGAACACATGAAGATGCACACTGGAGAGAAACCATTCACATGCACTCAGTGTGGGAAGAGTTTCAGCTTCTCATCACACCTTAAGGAACACATGAGGATCCACACTGGAGAGAAACCATACACATGCACTCAGTGTGGGAAGAGTTTTTACTGCTCAACACACCTTAATCAACACATGAGGGTCCACACTGGAGAGAAACCATACAAATGCACCCAGTGTGGGAAGAGTTTCAGCCAATTATCACACCTTAATAACCACACGAGGCTCCACACTGGAGAGAAACCATTTTCATGCACTCAGTGTGGGAAGAGTTTTTACTGCTCATCACACCTTAATGAACACATGAGGGTCCACACTGGAGAGAAACCATTTACATGCATTCAGTGTGGTAAGAGTTTCACCCAAACATCATCCCTTAATGTACACAAGAGGATTCACACTAGACAGAAACCATTCACTTGCTCTTAAGCTGCGCTCACACTGGACTTTTATCCCCATAGACTTCCATTTGTGCGCGCGAGAATGCATCAGACCGGAAACGCAAGTTCGTGTGTCAAGTTTTGCAGTTAATTGCCTTGCAAAGTTCAAGCTTGGTGAACTCTGACCTGTGAAAACGCATCACTTGACTGTGTGAGACTAATCGTAGATCTAAACATGACCTCTCTGGACAGAAATGAAAAATATAGACCAATCACACACTTTTTTAATGTCTAATTATGTTTAATCCCACTCCTTTTTGCTGCGTAGTACAACAGAATTTTGCATGCTCGAACTCTAGTGTGACCGCAGCTTCGGTGTGGGATGAGTTTCAGCAACTCCTCAGTAGTAATGGGAAGTTTGTATCATTTTACTGACTCGGATCAGTGAGTCTAGTTCATCGAGATAAACAAATCTTTTTTCGAGTCATTTCGTTCATTTGGCTTAATTTGCCAAATTATTATTAAAATGTTACAAATTGCATATAAACACATCTACAACTAGCCCAAAGGGTTGATCACACAACAAACAAGTCATAAATATAATACTGTGAAGGAGAAAACAATAATTCAATGTTAATCTACTATTTCGTCTTTCAAAGTATTTTTGTCTCTGCTCAGCTCACCTCTTTATGTCCTCAAATCAGTTGCATATGATCTAAACCAATGTACACAGTCTGAGCCGAAAGGAGCCATGATTAGTTCACCTTTCGAGTCTTCTGGTTCTTGAGTTGTTCGTTCACGTGACGGCATGAAGAGAGACATGACTCGAAAAATGAACGGATCAATCTCTTTCCGGCTCTAATTGCATACGATAGGTTCTGTCTTTTATGTGATGAATGACCCAGACCGAGGACTCAATAAATGAACGGATCAATTCTCTTTCTGGCTCTAAATGCATATTATTGGCGAGGCTTTAGTCTTTCATGTGGTGAACGAACGACTCAAACCCAATAGAGGACTAAAAAATGACCTAAAGTTCTGCCGCACTACACAACGTGCGCATGCGTGAATGACTGAATCACTTAGTTCATTCGAGTCATTCGTTCTTTTGTCACATAACATGAAGGAAAGCATAAGAGATGAGTTATTTAATGAATCAAATGGTCTTTGTGAACCATTTTGTAACATATGATGCTGCCGGCATTAGAAACTTAAACACTGTTTAATAGTATTATAAATAATAAAAAATAAAACCACATAAGCAGAAAAAAATAACAATAACTGACAATAGGACAGACCTCTTTATTTCTAAGAAAATGCTTTTTAGGTACACGTTGTTTGATGATTTTATGAAAAGTTTAAAATATGATCCATGATGCAACAAAAATTGCATCAACAAAAAAAGTGCATTTTCCAAACAACAACGTAATTCGTGGCTGAACTATCATAGTACGATTCATCGTTTGGGAAAATAACTATGTAGTGACGAGTGTTTCCCAAAACCCATAGTTTCGCTGTCGCAGATCCATTGCTTCATAAAACGCCCACAATGATGCTCTAAACTGGGTGGAGTAACTACTTCTTTAGAGAAGAAATCTTTAATTTCTTTGTGCAGATTATATTGTTTTACACGCACACACATTTAAGATAAAATCCAATATTAGTTTTGGTAAAAACATGCACTCGCTTTCCATATTAACTGAAATATATGTAAATGTCACATATAGGGCCTGTGTTTCCTTTACAAATATTATTTACATATTCTATTCTAAAACACATCAATTACAAAAGCTAACACATATTCTAATATAATAAATAAATAAATAATGAGGCTATTTATTATAAAATGAATTGTAATATTTATTATTAGAAATGAAAAACATCATACTTTAATAATAATATTAATAATAATGGTGATGATGATGATTATTATTATTATTAAATAAGATATTGTTTATTTAAAAATTTTTTGAAAAGTCTACTTTTTCAATTTGACACTTGTAAACCACTGCAGAAAGTTCTAACCAGCAGGCCCATGACATATACAGTACAGATACTATAAATTAAAAGAATTAAGGTATGCTTTTTGATTTCACAAGCTTTGGAGACGTAACATAAACGCCGCTTTTAAATAGGTCACCTATAACTTTCACCATGAAGCTGTGTTCAAAAAGACATCAATGTTTTCAAAGTGCACTGCGAAGGGAGCACAATTGTAAACATGAAGATGGCAAAAACTGAACTGTAAAATAGTTTGAAAGCAAATTACACCTCAGAGAGATGACTTTAATGCTTTTTATTTTTAATAATCCCAACTTTAAATGTTAGAATGTTCTAAATGAAAAGGGCATAGGGGGATAGAACACAGCCAGGAACTACGTTTCTAACCACAGCTCCAGAGGTATAGTTGCGAGTGCTCAAGTTTCCGACGCAGTTTGCGAATGTTTATTGGAGCGACAGATTTGGGAAACGATAAATCAACAAACTTTGTTTGTAACGACAGAACTTGCGACCTTAGTTGGCTAACAATGGTTTTGGTAAACACACCCCAGATTGGAGTGTGTTGTAAATCCTGATTGGATGCCTGCATTACACATAAATGGGTATATAAAGGTTGTTGTGCTAGCTACCCCAGGACGCTGTGGCTACTCAGGAGTCCTCATGTCAAGACCTGCCATCTCATTGACTCTTTAACCTTATGGTTTTGTTTGCATTACTTGTATCATGTAGTTAAAGTGTTGTTGTGATTATGTCCTAAGTTGTTTATCTTCATTATTATCCCTAGACATTTGTTGGTTGCTTTGATTGATTGTTCTATGAGTTACATTTTATAATAAATAATTTGCATTAAGGCTATTTTGTTGGCTCCTCTTTTATGCTGTGACTCAAACAAGCGGGTCATAACGCTTTGTAAAATGTGTCCGGTTGTATCCACGATCTTGTCCTTTCAGTCTTGACCATAAGTGAGAGTAGGAACCTAGACTGAGCAGTAAATTTGAAATACTGCCTTTTGTCTCAGCTCCTTTACCAGAACTGACAATCACATCAACTGCATTACTGCCGCCACTGTACTGATCCATCTTTTTATATCACATTCCATTCCTCATGAAAAAAAAAAAAAAAAACGCAGATACTTGAACTCCATTTGGGGTAAAGAGACTCCTCCAAACTGGACATGGCCACCTTTTTCTAGTCAAGCACCATGGTTTCTGACTTAGTGGTGCTGTTTCTTTCCCTGCCATGTCACACTCAGCTGCGAACCATCCCACTGCATGCTGAAGGTCCATGTCCTATGAAGCCAAAAGGACAACGTTATCAGAAAATGGCAGAGTCCTAGTCTATATCCTACAATTCTTTCAGTAAAAATTATTATATTTTTGAGATCAGTTTTAAAAATAACACATGTACAAAATAAAATGAATAAATAGATGGATGGATAGACATTGTAGTGGTGTAAGGGGAAGTAGGATGGCTTGTTCAACCATAAACCAAAATAGAGCTCTCTCAGGAGGGATGGACCAGTGTGCAAGATGTCTCAGACTAAAGGCGGAATAATGAAATAAATGCTCAGGAAGCCCAAACCTTTTTTATCAACTGGCTGTTGGGATGTACTCCTATGCAACCAAGGGTGCTTATTGTTCCAAAGAAATTAACTGGCTAAATTATCTAACTGTTAAAAAGTTTTTAAAGAAATATTTACAGGGATATACTGAAGTAGAGAAGTAACTTTAGGAAGTCAGTTCATTTTGAGTATGATACTTTGTTATTTTGAGTACCTATTTTGGTTCTTAATTCTGGTGCTTGTGCAAGATGTGTAGACAACTGTCTCAAATTAATTTTAGCTCATATTACTAGATCTTAGAATCACAACTGAGAAACCGCAAAAGCAGAGATTTGGCTTATCTTTAACTGCTTAGGATCAATTTGCACCAGATCAGCAAGAGACAACATTTGTTTGAGTTTTCTTCGCGAACTGGCCTTGATGAAAAACGGCGTTCCTAATTGATCGGTGACTCCGCTTCAGTGAAGTTGTTGAGGTTCACTCGCTTGTGAGTGGAAGTTATCCTGGATTACCAGAATGTTTGCAAGTCGGTTTGCAAAAGTTTTTTTTTTTGACCAAATTACCATCCTTGAGGCGATGGTGGAGCTGATGAAGGTGATGGCTGTGACCATCCCTGAGGCGGTGGTGGAGCTGATGAAGCTGATGGCTGTTGGTATGGTGGGGAAAAAAAACATCCTGGCGGCAATGGTGGAGCTGATGGTGGATATGGTGGAAAAGTACAATATGTATGTTCTTGCCAGGAAGGCCACCTAGGAAGGTGCTGAGCCCCAGGCCAGAAAAAAATGTGTGCCAGATGGACATGCTCCTCCTTGCCCAGTGTCTGTGTGTGAAATGGAAGCCGCTGCAGTTCCAGTTCTCGAATATTTTTGTTGGTGAACTGCCCCACCCTCCCGATTTTCAGGCTCATGAAACTCGATTGGAACATGTCCATGTTCAACAGGTGCAGATGGGGACACCTTAGGCATCAGCAGTGGCTCATTCGCCAAACCCACCTGCTGGGGAAGCTCTACTCCTTGAAGAAGTGTGTCCCATTCAGTTCTTTTTTTGTCTGTCCAGAAGCCTGGGAAAGAAAAAAACAAACATTAAGTTTGAAGAGAGCACAACTACTCTTTATGCAAGTGAGCAGAATGGTTAAGTATATACTACATAACAATGAAAAAACTATATTTAAAACATAAACGTCAGGAAATAACTTAAAGAAATAAATATAAAGATAAGTAGTTTGCAGTGTGATTTAAGAGACAGAAAAGAAAAGCTGGCTTCAGATCCCAGATGAGCCATCTGTTATACATTACTGTTAATGATGTTCATAATTCTGTTAAATCTAAATTTGCAATCTCACAACTGACCAGTAACAATCAGAAATCAAGAGGTGTTTAATACTACAGCAATA